ACAGGAAGCACATTGAACGGATGGGTATGCACATACCCTGATTATGTGCACAAGAAAATATTGAGGTCATCAAACCTGTGACTCACGAATGACAGAGGTCTCAACCTCAAGTGGCTATAGCAGCCAGGGAAGTGGGCGGAGGGCATAAGACAATAGGGGGCGGTGGAGACTGTTGCACAACTAGAATACATACTGTTTTCAAAGGAAACAGCAATTTTTCAGTTCTGTAGAATTATTTCCCCATGAAAACATATGCTTGGTGCTACCAGTCTTCTGATTTTTTTCTGAGGGAACCTTAAAGTCCAGAAATTTATAAAACATATCTCGTTTTTTAAAGTTGAAAATAGTTTCAATTAGCTAAGAGTCTGTGTGAGTAAAATGAAGCTCACTTAACTGGCCACATCACCCTATGGATCTCCAGTTTGTCACCACTGTATCAGGGTCCATCTAAAAACAGACAGGTAAGCAAGGGAGTCTGCATATATTAATTCAGTTTAATCATATCAATTCTTAAACAAAAAATTTCCTCCAAGAGACAATAGTTCACAGTAACTGCAAAGCTTACTCACAACTTTTAAAAATACCAGTCATGCTTAGCATTCAAAGAAGATATTGTAGAATAACGGTAAAAACTTTTACCAGGAACATCAGCTTCTGACTTTAAAAATTACAAATACTGAAGCATTTTGGTATCAGACACAGTAGTTTTGACATTGTCTGTTCATTTGATGAGTTTCTGGAAGTTTGGAAAATTGTACCTCTCTAATTGGGATAATGCGCTTATTCTAAACTAAACATTTCAAATGTAGAAAACAAACTAGCAAGCTACACATACAAAGAAAAGCCCTCTAAGAGAAGCTCTCCACATGTTGAATGCCAACATATGCACCGAGAATCCTGGAAGACTAGAATTGATACATAGACTTGGCCTGAAGTCTTACGCCCCAGGCTCAGCAATGGAGTTTGCATTCACCTACACATTAATGACAAACTCTGGGTTAGTATAAGAGAAGCCAGCAAATTCATTCTGGTCCAAGTTCATGATGAAGAGTTTATCAGTGGGAGTCAGTTCCACAGGCTGTCTGGTGAACTCTTTGTCGAAGTTGGAGGTATCTCGCTTGTCTCTCTGCCAAATGGAAAGCAGACACATTAACACAGCATAAGAAGAAGGAAACAGGACCAAGACATGCCAGTTACCAGGAGTCTGATCAGTCATTTCACAAGCAGAGTCAGAAAGAGTCCCTGTGCTGACAATTTTTAGTAGCTACATTGCACATACTAGCTTTGCATGTTGTCTTCGGGATAGAAAACTTGGTGGACATCTTCTAAGAAAGGAAATAAGTCATCGAATTTCTTTAAGTGTTGCCACAAAGTGGTGTGTGTGTGCGCGCACGTGCGTGTGTTGTATTTTCTTTGGCTTTGAGATGAATCGAATTGGAAACTATTCGTTACCATGTATAATGCCATACAATTAGTGATTAGGTAGAGTGGCCCAGAGAAAATTGCTCAATAGCGACCCCTGTGGCTAGGAGGCCTCTTTCTTTGCCAAGGTGAACTTGCACAACTGCTCTGTTCCCTGGAAGGTGGAATGGCCACGTGGGAAAATCAGATCTCTGCTTAATGAAAGGCGTTGATGGCTATCCACCCCACACTTGTTGGTACAATCCAGGCTTTAAAGGGATACTCAAAAACCCACCCACAGATTAGAATTTGGGTCTTCATCAGCCAGAGGTTCTCTCCAAAGATGTTTACAGCACATATCTAGTCAACAAACTATAAAAAAACAAAATCCAAAGCTTAAAGTAAGGTCTGTAAAGGAAGCCTTAAAAAACCAAAACAGAGCAACTCGATTCTCCTGGTTTGTCTGGCATTTCTCTTTTTTAGTGGGGAGGTGGGGGAGATATTAACCCCAATTTGCTATAGTATGGAGCGAGTTTTGACAGGGAACATCAGAGTGTGGGCTGATCTTCCGTATGGCGTGCTGACTTCTTCAAGGTCCTTGTCAGCCTATTATGTCTTCCCATCCTCACCCCATACATCTGGGAGGCCGGTAGAATTAGAGTCCTTATCCCCCCACCATTGTTTGACAGATGAGAAAACTGAGGCACAGGCAGGTGAAGTGACTTGCCCAAGATTGCACAGTGGGTTTGTGAGTATTACCTGACCACATCACTGCTAAGTATGCCTCCTCTCAGCCCCTCTGACTGGAGCGACAGCCTGATGGCTGTTTTATTATGGGACAACCAGGGATAACCCCTGGGATTCACTGGTCCCAGGCAGGCCACCAGGCTGAAGCCAGAGTTGTGTCAGATTATAAAGGGGTCGGTGAGGATTGATTGACTCATTAGAGTTTGGCCAATCACCACACAGGCTTTATCCCCTAATGGTCACTGGCTGATAAGGGTTTCTCATTGCTGCACTCATTCTCCTTTCATAAGAAGTGCTTCTTTCTGCTGTTCCCCTGAGATAGGTAAAATGTCTCTATGGAGTTCTCTACCTACTCTGTGTGGGGATGTGGCAGTGAGGGGGACACACTGCCTCAGCAGCACACTTGGGTATGTGTGGCCAAAGTGGAGCAGGCTAGAGATGCCAATGGAGCTGTTTTCCGGATGGCGGGCCACCTCCTGCCACATCCCACCCCCTCTGCCTTGCCTTGTCCTGCCTGCTGTTGAGCCTGTGTTGGGCTGTGGGAGGTTCCATCCCCCAGGAACTCAGTGTGTTACTGCTTGTGTTCAGAGCAAAGCTCGCATGCCTCCTCTTGCTTTAATACTGTCTGTGCATCCCTCTCTCAATCCCTGCAAGTCACACTTTGGTATCCTTTTCACTGTCTGTATTGCACTTATTGCTTTCAGACAGTGTCTTGTTTACTTATTATTTGTCTCCAAGAGGGCAGGGTCCTTGTCTGTTTCTTCATTATTGTATTTATAGTGCCAAGAATGATACCTGGCACACAGTAGACTGCTCATAATTATTTGTTGAATGAATGAATCTATGAATGAAGACTTGGCCAAGGAAGAGCCTCCTCACTTTTTCCAACCTATAGTTGCCCCAAAGGCAGGGACCTCACTCTGAAAATAATGGAATTTATTCCCATTGATCTACCGGTCTCCCAAACGGGCCACTGTCCATTTGAGCTCCAGTATGAACTGAATTTTGTTAGGTGCCTTCAAGGTCTGAGAGCTACAGGGCTCTGTGTGGGCTAGAAGACAGGTAGATCTGGGGCTAGAAGATAGGCAGCTGCCTTCTTTCAGATCTCCTCTGGTCTCATCAACCCTATCTGGTCTTCCTTGCCTGTGGGCAGGTGGCAAAAGTTCGCTTCCCACCAGCCCCAACTTTGGAAGCCCTTCCCCATTTCTTGTGTTGGTGAAGACTAATGCTTCAGATAGCCACTTGGTCCAGACAGGACTTGCCCTTCTGGACTTTGTCCTGTGGGCAGATCCCCATAGAAAATACTCCTGGATCTTACCCTAGAAGTTGGGAAAGAATAGGCCTCTCTGTTGGGATAATTCTTTTGGGGTTGATAGCATCTGAAGCCACTTGAGAATAGTAGCATTCATCCAAGGAGGGCTATTAATGCCACTGACCTCCTATTAATCCCCCAAGAAGGTCACTGTGGCCACAGCCCTATGTTTTCTTAGGAGAGCTCTGTTTCTCAGACTTTCCTGTACTGGAAATGTGGATAGAAAAGGAAATGTTAGGAATTCTCACTACTGATTCCTTCCTTCCTTCTCTGACCAATCCTCAGGAAGGTGTGCTAGGGGAACAGAGACTTTGGCTTGAGTATCTATTTCTGCAAACTATTAAACTTCTGAAAAATAATGGCAAGAATTTGGAAAATGTAGAGTGCAGTATACATATATGCTATATTTTATCTATCTAGCTATCTTTCTATCCATCCATCCTACATTGTTCTCTAAAGTTGTCTCAGATCATGTGTCAATGGCCCAATGTTTCTCCATGGTTTTTATCTTCCTGAGAGCATGTCCAGGCAAAATGAGAGTATGACCCCACAGCCAGAAGGACCTCAAATAACTTGCCTGTGGTGGGTATGACTCAGAGATGCCTGTTACTGTTGCTAGAGAGCAGAAAGAGTCCCAGGCAGAGGATCAGGAAGCCTGGGTTTGTATCCCAGCTGACTGACCTTGGGCAAGTTACTTCTTGTCTTCAGATTGTAGTTTCCCCAATAACAAAATGAGGGAATTTTGCTCTAATTTCCCTACTGCTCTAACCTTCTAAGCTTCTCAGCTAGGACTTCAAGTTGGCTTCACTTTAGGTCTAGATTGCTACCACGGTGGCAATAGCAGGGATGGTCCCCAAGCCTGAAGCAATCAAAGGGTAGAAAAAGATGACCTACAGGGGATGTTGCCTAAGTGGAGATCCACATCATGGTTTTCTTAAGGAGAAGAAGTCTTACTTCAAGGACATTAGTCAAGTTTTCAGTGTTCCCTTGACGGTCTCTCAGAAGCCCTGGAACTTCTGGAAATCACTTGAACTGTGATAAGAATTCTCTTTAGGGCTGCCTGAGAATAGCAGGACGTGGTAGGCAAGGATGAGACCTGCTGTCTTAATCCACTCAGAAAGAAATGAAGTTTCTCTGACCCAAGGGTTTCCTTGGGCTTTGGGGAGCTCACAAAGCTGCTTGCTAGAAAGAATATTTAGTCCAAGCTGGCAGGAGTGGTGACTTTGATAAGAAAGTCAAGAGCCCCATTCATGTTCCCAGCTAGCCTCTAAACTTGACTCTGGGGAGAGTGTGAGCTTTGGGCTCCAACATCCTTGGAGATTCTGGCCAGGTCATTCCACCCCACTACAGGCCACCAGGAGTCCCTGAATGGTCCACAGCCCCTGCCTCTCTGACTGGCTAAATACTGGGGCCAAGATTAAGCTCTGGATTTAGTTCCTTTCTCCCGAGTTCCTTCCTTGGGCCCCACTTTGTAGTCTGGGTCCATGTTTTTCAAAAAGATCAGTTTTCCTTGAAATAGCATTTCTTCTTCTGTTCTTTCTTTTTTTTATTGTATCTCGATGCTAGAAGAAAAAGGGCACATAACAGACATCCAGGTACAAATGAACATTTCCACAAACATCTTGCAAAACAACAAAGTGAAGAATACAACTATCGTTGTTTCAAGAAATGGCATCTTTCTCAGAGCACTTAATTGACTTTCCAAAGCCAGCGACAAACCTAGGCAAATCCCATCCCCACAGACATGGGACTGCCAGGCTCCAGAACCGTCTTCTTGGTAAAATCAAAGCAGGTCATTGTGGTTAATAACATTTGGACACATATTTTAAAGCATGTGTAACAAAGTGAGTCACTTTTTTTTTTTTTTTTTTTTTTTGGCATTTGAACAACAACAGAAACAAAACCCCAAAGCAAATAAAGTTTGAAATGTAATGTAAGACCATGGCCCTTTGGGACCTTGCTAGAGTGACCGTGTTCTTTCAGGGAGTGGTGCCAAATGCCCTTTTCCAGTAGTTTGGGGATGAAGGTGACCAGAGACATAGAGTATCAGTAAGTACAACACTGAGGTAGCACCCAAGCTGGTTGCCTTTTGACCCCCTGAAGTGCTTTTAGATTGACACTATCTAGAAGCACACTCTTAGAATTTTAGAACGTAGATAATCTTCTTAATTTGCGTTAAAAAAAATAACACACAAAATTTTATTTTGAGCATGTTCTTTTCAAGGCTCCGATGCCTTCAGAACAGATAGAATAGAGGGATTCCCTCTAGGCCAAAGCAACCATATACTTGGATACAAGCCAAGCTCCAGGCCGGGAAGTGGAAGAATACTAGCATTCGATTATCCACGAATTTTGTAGGAAGGATCTAGATTGGATGGTTGGGGTGAAAACGGCAGTGCAGTAAAAGAGGGGAAGAAAGCAGGCATTTTCTTTCCCTACTGGGTCTACTTAGCTGACATGCTGCGCGAAATAAATTATAAGAGGACTTCGATAATGTGTTAATTATGCAGCAGCATTTTCCATACGCCATCTGCATAATCCCATCTCGTAGAGATGCTCCAAACTACCTGAGGACATTTGGGTCCTGAAACACGGTCACTGTAGTCTCATCAGAAAATCAAACATGGATGCAACTTGGCAATGAGAAAAATAAATGTCACCACAATAGCTGTTGAGCTTGAATGACAGAAATGAAGGACGGAGATCTACACATCTACTTAGCTCTTGACTTCAGGTTTTAAAAATTCAGAGTTAACAAAGGAAAATCCTTCGAATTCTGATTGGTCAATATTCCTGATGACTTCCTGGTCAGGAGGTGTTAGGACTGGTGGATGGCGGGTGAAAAATCGGTCGAAGTTTTCAGCATTTCGCCCACACTATGAGAGGGGAAGAAAAGAACTTGTGGTGGGTGGGGAAAAAACAAAAACAAAGAAAAACAAAAACAAAAGCCAAAGCAAAACAGAACCTAGCATAACTGGGTGTGATTTTCTCCAATCGACTCCCTTTGAGAAACTCAGAGAGGTAGTTTCAATGATTAGAAATGAGAGCAACATAAAATGCAAAATTCTCATGACCTTTGGTGCATGACCTTGGGCTCCTGATCTTCAGTTGCTGTAGTTCAGGAGCTGCCCTTGAGGTCCTTCTGGGCAGTTAGGAGATGTATGGCAAAGGCATGAGATGGCGGAGCCAGCGGCATGTGCATTTCCCTCCCACCCCACCCCACCCCAAGGAGTCAGCCAAGCTCATCTATTGGTACAGATGAGATTAAAATACCTGTGATGCTTCATGTAATGCAAGATGCAAAGTCATGACCCATTTATACGTCACCTGGGAGATCCCAATATTTATAGCAGCAGATCCCTCAAAGTACTGTCCTCTGGCTCTCAATCAGGAACAATAGATGTTTCCAACTCAACACAACATAGTTTAAAAACTCTAGTCAGTGGAGAAAGATCCCAACTGCGAAACCTGGGTTTGATGCCTGCAATGCCTGGGTAACCATGAGGGTGGTTAGCTGGATCAGTCATTGACCTTAAGTACAAGGTGCCAGGAGGTAAACTCAGTCGTCCTCTCTCCAAATAGGAAGAAAGAGTGTGGGAGGAAATAGAAATCAGTGCTTGGTGAGGCAATCAGATTCTAGAGAGAAAACCATCGCATTTCTCACCCATCCTGCTGGTCTTCGATATGAAGAAGCCCCCGACTGAGGCATGTAACACATGTGTGTGTGTATGTGCATGAGTGCACACACACATGCACATGCTAATTACCACCTACCAAGAAGAGACACGTCACTAAATTTGGGGTTTCTTGTTCTTTGTTCTTTGACAGCAAAACCCATTTGCACAAAAGTTCCAAGTGTTTCAAACACAGTGTCTATAGGAAGTAACTACAATCTAATAATATAATAATAGTAGTAGTAGTAGTAATAATAGTTATGACAGCTAACTTTTATTATGTATTTGCCATATGCCAGGTACCCTGGAAAGCTCTTTCCTTGAGTTACCTTATTTAACCTTCCCAATGACCCTATGAAGTGGGTATTATTATCAACCCCACTTTATAGATGAGGGAACTGAGGCCAGGGGGATTATGTAATTTGTTCCAGGTCACATAGCTAATGAATAGCAGAGCTGCAAATTGAGTCGGGTCCATCTGACATTAGAGCACAAGCTCCTGGATCCATTTCTGCAAGTACGGTGGACAGGCTGGTGGCTGACTGAATAATGGAGCTGGGCAGGGCGGGGGGCAGTCAAGGATGGCACGATGAGGACTTTAGGTTTGAATGACAGAGAATGTGGTTGTATGAACCACGGAGACAGAGAAAGTGGGAGATTTTAGAAAGATGACTATTTCCGTTTTGGACATGACAACTTTGAGGGGTCAGTGAAAGTTCCAGATGTGGAGCAGCGGGAATCAGAAGTACAGGTTCTGAAGGTCAGGAGAGAGGTCTTGAAAAAAAAATTTAAGGATGGAGTAAAGATAATAGTAATAAAAACCACTGAGCACTTTCTACGCAACAAACATTAGCTAAGTGTTTTTGCATATGTGACCTTTTAAACTCATGTAACAGCCCTATAAGGTGTGTGTTTTATTTCCATTTGCCTATGATAAAATTGCCCCTGAAGCTGTTTTAGGAAGGTAGGAGGAGAACTAGGAGAGAGCAGGAGACAAGCTAAAGACTGAGAGGAATCCAAGGAGAAAGGCATTGTTATCCTTGAAATATTTCCAAGAAGTCAAGCAGGAGAGTCACTGAAAATGGGCCATTTGGCCACTGGGCGGACACTGATGAGGAATGAGACTACCACTGAACTTCAGTCGCTGAAAGAGTGAAGGTTCATTGAGAAAGTCAAGAACCGCAAGCTTCTTTCCAAAGCCTTATTGTTAAGGGAAGCAAAGGAACTTAGCTCTCCAAGAGCCTCGGCCTCCTGCTTTCTTCTTATTTGGGTGAGCCCAGGAGTCTGTATTTTGCAAACGTGAATTTGAATCCTGGCAGCACGCTGCCTACTAGCTGTGCAACTCTGGGCAATTTCCTTAAAGTTCCAGTTTCCTCTTTTGTGAAGCAGGGACAATTCTAATTTCTATCTTATGGGGTTGTGATATGAGGATAAAATGAGATAATGCATGTGACTGGCACAGTGCCTGGCACCAAGTAGGTGCTCAGCACATCGTAGCGGCAAGTAAGGTTCTCGTTTTCTACTACAAATCCCTACAGACAGCACACACTTCCTATGCTGGGGTATCTTCATGGTGCTTGAGTTTTAAATACTGAGGAAATAGCCTTGAATTTATAAAAGACTCAAGTCAGACTTAAAAAGACATATTTGTCATTCCAACCCAAACTGTTTCAGCTGTTTTGAAATCTTGGCTTCAGGGTCTCGGAGAAAGAGAAGTGACTCTCGGCCACATTATCAGGACCAGGGGTCTATTCTGCTGGCCAGTGGGGAAAACTCCCACAAAAGGATGAACTCTTGGGGTCAACTCAGTGTGCTCAGGATTATTGTCCAGATTCATTCCTTCGTTTATTCATTTTCTCATCCGACAAATATTTATTGAGCATCTACTCTGTGCCAGGCCCTGTGCTAATAGCATATGGTACAAAACTCATGCCTTGTGGAACTTACATTCTACTGGGGAAGAAAGGCAACAAACAAAGAAAAATATAACTGTAAATGTAAATATATATTTTAAAGCTAGATGGAGATAAGTGATGTTAAGAAAAATAAAGCCAGGTCAGGCGATGGAGTAAGGGTGATGCCATTTTCAGTAAGGTGAAATGAAGCTCTGAGGAAATGATCTTGGAGCAAGACCTCAGTGAAGTAAGGGAGGTTGACCTTTGGATGTCTGGAGGAAAAGCATTCTAGGCAGAGGGAACTGTACATACAAAGGCCCTGAGACAAGAGCGGGCTTGGCATAGTTAACAAACACCAATGAGGCCAGTGTGGCCAGAGCACAGTGAGCAAGGGGGGAGCATAGGGAGGGGTGCAGAGGGCATCAGGAGCTAGAGCATGGTCCGCTCTGGCCATGTGAGGACAGAGGATTTTCATCTCAGGTTGATGAGAAGTGCTGGAGAATTCTAAGCCCCGAGTGATAGGACCTGACTTATGTTTAAACAGGGTCACTGGTGCAGTGTACAGAATAGGAATGGAAACAGTGGGACCAGCTGGGAGGCTGTTGCAATAATCCCAGTAAGAGATGATGAAGGCTTGGAGGAAGGTGATCGTTGGGGAGATGGAAGGATGCACCTGGATTTGGGGCACATTTTGAATTTAGAGTTGACAAGGTTTGTTGAAAGTATGAGAGGAAAAGAGGAGTTGTTGGTGACCCCAAGACTTTCGGCCTGAGCTCTTTGGTGAGGGGAGACAATAGCAACAGAGCATATTTGTGGGGGAATCAGATACTTGGTTTCATTTATGATAAGTTTGAGATTCCTGTGGCATTGTCAAGGATGCCGGAGTCCCCTTGGCTGCAACGTGGGGATTGCAGAGGACTGGGAAGCTAGACTGGTGGCAGAGACGTGGAGCAGGAGACTCCTGCAATCACCTGGAGGAGAGGATGGTGGCCTGGGCTGTGGAAAAGGGGGTGGAGCAGAAAATACAGAGGGGCAGGTGGCAGAGATGGTCAGTGTGGCCCGTTACAAGGCAGACCTGTGGGTGTTTTTCTTTGGCCTGGGTGTTGGGACCCGAGCCAGTCAGCGTAGGAAGCACATTAGCTGAGACACAGAGAGTCTTCAGGGACCATTTTTCTTTAAAAACCATCCATTTCCCATCCGCACCAGAAGGCTGTTGCTTTGCATGGCCTCCCCCGGGGCTGTGATGGGAGACAGAGAAACAGCTTCTGGCAGCTCCACAGCCCCTTCCCCCATCCCGCTCCCCACCACTGCCTTGGAGAACAATGAAATCTTTAAGTGAGATAGCACAGAGGAGATGCAAGAACAGGGGTTAACCAAAGGGGCACCATACACCGGGAGCGTGATTTCCCTGCTAATAAGCAGCTTACGGGACTGGCAGATCACAGCCTCCCTGTTAAGTGTTTCTGTGTTTTTCAAATGGAGCTGTCGCTGCCCATTAGTTTCAGGAGCGCTCCCTAAATGGAGACGTCAGCCCTTGGGAGGCACAGCCGGATAGGCTCCCGCCTGCTGTGTCCTTGGAGAATGGGGCCGCTTGTGGCTGGGATCTAATTACAAACGCAGCGCGGACCACACCTGCCTTGCTGGCTGTCTTGGGTGAACACTTCAGCCTCTCTCAGCTACTGAAAGAAAATCCACCCCCCTTGTCATCAGGGTACACCAATGGGGCTCCTGGAACAGGGCCAGAGGCCGGAAACCAACTACATTATTTAAATCCCAGGTGCTTCTTCCAGGGTTGGAGAAGGGAGTAAGAATTTTAACTTGTTGAATCATGCTCCTGAATTTAAGATTAGACAGGTTGGAAAGCTTATCTGTGAGCTGTTACATGTAAGCTCTTTTTTTTTCTTCTCTTGTTTCTAATTTCCGTTTCGCTTGTTAATAACTGAGTCGAGTTGTCAGATGTGGAGTTGGCTCAGCCATGGCAGCCATAGGATCTTTCAAAGATGCTGCTGTTACTTGTGATAGCTCCCCATTGCCCAAAGCCCACACTCCCTAGCATGGCTAACAGGGCCATTCAGGACTTGGCCCTGGTCACCTGGACAATAGCCCACACCCCCACCCCCTGACACACCCTCCAGCTGTATTGAAATAGTTCCAGTTCCTAGAATACGCATGCGCTCTCTCACCTCCAAGTCTTTGTCTCCTCTGCCAGGAACACTCACCTCCCACTCTTGCCCCTTCCCCCGCTATCTCCTACACATCCTTTCCACCTCCAGAAGAATGTCGCTTCCTCCAGGAGAGGCTTTTCCT